CCCCCCAAAAAGGGTCTCAGCGGCCCCTCAGAGGCCTCCTGGGGGTCCCACCCTGAGGGTCCCACCCGGGGGGGGGGGGTCAGGGGGTCCCATCCCGGGGGTCCCACCCCGGGGGTCCCATCCCGGGGGTCCCATTCCGAGGGTCTCCCTCCCCTCCCCATCTCGGGGGTCCCGTTTTTGGGGGTCCCGTTTTTGGGGGTCTCACCGTCGCCCCCCCCCTTCCATTCCTCCTGTTTGGGCCCCGCCGGCCGCGCTCCCTTCGGCATGGCTGGGCACCGCGCACCGCGCATGCGCCCCGCCCCGCGCCGCTTCCGGGCTGCGCCTCCTTCCCCATTGGTCCGCCCCGCCCTCAGCCCCGCCCGCCCTTCCCTTATACCCGCCTCCCATTGGTTCTCTCCGCTCGCCCCGCCCACTCATGTGGCGACTCGCGCCGCCATTGGTTCTCCTCGCCGCGCGGCGGCGCGTTGTCCCATTGGCTCTCTCCGCGGTTCATCCCGCCCCCTTCCTGAGGCAACTCGCGCTCCCATTGGTCAGGGGGCGAGGCTCGCTGCCATTGGTCGCCCTGCGCGTCAGTCACGCCGCGGCTCTGAGGCGGTGCCGCCTCCCATTGGCTCCTCCCCGCGCGCCGCCCGCTCCCATTGGCGGGCCGCGGCCACGCCCCCGGTCACGTGAGCGGTCCCCGCCTCCCCCAAGTCATGCCCCGCAAACGCCCGTTCAGCGCCAAGAGGAAAAAACAGCAGCTCCGGGACCGGCGGGAGCGGAAACGGGGAGGTGGGAAAGGGGACGGAACAACGGGAACGGGGGGGGGAAAACACCGGGAATGGGGAGGGAAAATACCGGGAATGGGGGAGAGAGGGAGGGAGGGAGAGAGAGGGAGGGAAGGGGGAGGTGGGAAATGGGGGGAAATACCGGGAATGGGGGGGAAAAAACAGAAGATCGCCCGGTGTGGGAGTGCGGGGGGCACTGAGAGGGCCCGGGACCCCCGGGCTGGGGTTCCTGGGACCTTCCACTGACCCCCCCCCCGTGCCCACAGATGCCCCCCCGGGGGGTCCCGACTCGGGCCCCGGCAGCCGCAGCGGGAGCCGCGAGAGGGGCAGCGATGGGACCCCCGGAGACCCCCCCGGGGACCCTCCGGGACCCCCCCGGCGCCACGACCCCGGCAGGTACCTGAGGGGGGCCTGGAGGTGCCCCCCCGGGTTCTGGGTGTATTTGAGGGGGTCTAGAGGGGCCTGGAGGTGCCCCCCAGGCTCCAGATGCATCTGGGGGGGGCCCTGGGCTGAGGGTGGGTCCTGGCAGTGGGTGGGGGTCCAGGAGGTGTGTGGGGGGGTCCTGGGCACTGTGTGACCCCCCCTCTGTGACCCCCCAGGTTCCAGATGTATCTGGGGGGGCCCCAAACTGAGGGGGGCTCTGGACAGTGGGTGGGGGGTCCTGGGCACTGTGTGACCCCCCCTATGCCCCCCCAGGCTCCAGATGCATCTGGGGGTGCCCCAGGCTGAGGGGGGGTCCTGGCAGTGGGTGGGGGGTCCCAAGCACTGTGTGACCCCCCCTGTGCCCCCCTAAGTTCTTTCTCTAACGGGGGGTCCCCAGGCACAGTGTGGGTGCCAGTGTTGGGTGGGTGGTCCTGGCAGTGGGTGGGGGGTCCCAGGCACTGTGTGACAGCCCCCCTGTGCCCCCCTAAGTTCCATCTCCAGCTGGGGGGTCCCTGGGCACAGGATTGGTGCCAGTGGTGGGTGGGTGGTCCAGGAGGTGGGTGGAGGGTCCTGGCAGTGGGTGGGGGGTCCCGGGCACTGTGTGACCCCCCCTCTGTGCCCCCCAGGTTCCGTCTCCAGCTGGGGGGTCCCCGGTCCCAGGCCCTGGCTCAGCGCCGGCGCCGGGCACAGGAGGAGCCCCTGGAGCTGCTCACGGAGAGCGCCCTGGAGCTGGACCCCGACTCCATCTACGGGCCTGGTGAGGGGAAAAAGGCACCCCCGGGGGGGCAAATGTGCCCTGGGGGGGGTAAACGGGGCACGGGAGGGGGTGAAGTGGCGTTTGGAGGGGGTGAAGTGGCGTTTGGAGGGCGAGAAGTGGTGCCAGGGAGGGGGAAAGGGATCCTGGAGTTGGGGGAAATGGTGACAGGGAGGGGGTAAATGGTGCTTGGGATGGGATTAATTGCCCCAGGGAGGGGTAAATGGTGTCTGGGATGGGATTAATTGCCCCAGGGAGGGGTAAATGGGGTCTGGGATGGGATTAATTGCCCCAGGGAGGGGTAAATGGGGTCTGGGATGGGATTAATTGCCCCAGGGAGGGG